AAATGGAATTGATAGAAACTGCAAAACACAGCTTTTACAGCATACCTCTAACAGTTAGCGATACTTATCAGGCTTTTACGCTCATTAAGTGGAAGATTATATTCATTCAAAAGGGGAACATCTTCAAGGATCCCAAAGCAATCACATATCGGGAGAAAATGGGTCAAGAACCGACATCTTCATCGACTAACCGACATCTCATATCGGTTGTGACATGTCGGGTACGACATATCGGTTAGGACATATCGGTTATGGCTAACCAAACCGATATCTATGACTTGCCACACCAACACCATAAGGCGGCGCCAACTCAGCACAAGTCATCATTATACCTGGCCAAGTGGCACGCTACCAAGATAAATGGCAATAAGCCGCCGTTGACTATTCTAATGTAATGATTAAATTGCTGATAAGTGTTGTAAATTAATATATAAGGGAAAAAATAGACTCTCTAGAGGGAGGATATGAAAAAATATACAATAATATTCAATAAACTTTCCTTTTCGATTATCAGGTTCTGAATCTCTCTCTCTTGAATACCCAACGTGTTTTGCATTATATTATCGTTGTTAATTACCACATAACAACAATTTGGCCCTAGAGGAAGGGCCTCATAACATTTTTGAGGTTAACTTTCGCTGTTATAGCCATCTCCTCGCTTGAAGTTACCATGTCGCAATCTGGTCGAGATCAAACGACTCATCCTGGCCAGAGCGAATCGACTAATCATTCACCAAGGCGTTCAACACCACCTCCTCCGGTCACGAATATCACGAACTTCCTTCAAAACCCAGAGTTTATTCAAGGTTTAACCTCTCTTATAGCTCGAGCCATGCCCAGAAACTCGAGTACTATACCTTTATCAACGCCGTTTCCTACGAATCCAATGGAACATCCATTCATTACTCATCATGACCCTGAAACACATGTGGCGACATCACATGCTACGCCACAACCACACCATACTTCTCCACATCGAGAGGAGTTAACTCGTATAACTGCTAATCCAGTAACGAACAACCAGGTCGCGGAGGAACCTCCTGTTCGAGAGATGACTGCTGAAAGCCACTCTGCTCATTGTCAAAGAATTCCGTCACGACCTAGACCTATCTCACCGGTACCTCGTGACCGTGAAGATTTACGGCGTCAGATTGAACGGAATCGCATGTCAAGACATAGTGCCGAAGAAATCGAGGTTCTCCGTAAAAGATTGGCTGAAATTGAGACTCGACAGAAGTCACAAGAAGATTCTCCCCGACATGTCTCGACGTCGGGAAATGTAACCGTTGAAGCCGATTCGCCTTTGGCTCCAGAACTTACTGCGGAGGCGCTCCCTGCCAAGGTAAAAATCCCACAAATTGGCATGTATGATGGGACCTCGGATCCAGACGCGCACTTAGGCCATTATACGTCGTGGATGGAATTGCATGGAGCTTCGGATGCTTTGAGATGTCGGATGTTTTCCCTCACACTGGGGCCACGGGCACAAAAGTGGTATTATACTCTTCCGCCTCACTCAATTTGGAAGTGGCAACAATTACGTGCAGCTTTTCGATCACATTTCATTGGAGCTCAAGTTTGTCTTATCCCAAAAGAATCGATCACTAATATCGTACAAAAGGATGACGAAACCGTGAAGGATTACATATCTCGGTTTAACGAGCGAATTCAGAACATGGAACCTTGTAACTGAGGCCCTACTAGTAACTGCAATTGCTGGGTTAAAGCCCAATTCGATGTTTCGCTAGACCTTATGTCAAAACAAGCCGGCTACTTTTCAAGAATTCCTCGATGTCGGTTCCTAGTTTCGACTTCTCGGTGAAGGAGAATAAGACTGAGTCAGATGCGAAGAAGAAGAATAAGAAGAATTTTGGGAAAGCGCAATATCGAAATTACTCTAAGGGGTATGAAAGTACTCCGGAGTCCAGAGCTGCCCGAGATCAGTATGCCGATAACGTGAGGACAGGCTATCAAACCGTTTATTCGGCCGGAGCAGCCACAATTTTTAAAGAACTGAAAGGAAATGGAATTATTCCTGATCCAAAACCAGTAAGAACTTCTGAAGATAAGCTGGATAAATCTCGATACTGTGCGTACCATAAATCTCCGGGACACAATACCGATGAATGCCTCGACCTCTTATCGGCCCTTTTACGTTTGATTGGTCAGCCTCAACTTCAAAAGTTAATAAATTTTGACAATCGCCAGAAAGGGAGGCCCGTAGATCTTTCAGACGAAGAAGATGATGATAATTGAGCCGTTAACCCGAAGAGAGTTCGTGCGAATGATAAGGAAGTTTGTACATTTTCCACTCTTGTCGGTATTTCGACCGACAACTGCAAAAAACCCAAAGCACATGACGCGTTGAACCCTTCTTACTGTATACCCCGAGTAAATTCTAATACCAAGCAGTTGGATACGTCTTGGTGAAAAGCTAAAGCCTATGCCAGGGAAGCCAAAAATGCCGAGAACGAGTTATGAATGTTGATCTTCGAGATACCATTAATAAGCGGAATTGTCCTATCACATTTAGTATCGAAGATGCCAATTTGTTCGCTCATCCTCATTCCAATGCCCTCATTATCACTGCTCCGATTGGAGGAATCTATGTACACCGAATTATGGTTGATACCGGAGCATATTCAAGTATTTTGATGTTTCGCACGTTCAAGAAATTGGGTTTGGATCCGGCGGACATTAGGCCCTGTAATGATCAGATTCAAGGTTTTAACAGAAGTATTTCTTGTCCTATCGGTGAAATACTACTCCCCATATGATTTGGTGGTTTTGGACCAAAATCCAAGATCATTATGGATACCTTCAAAGTCTTGGATGTTCAAAATGAGTACAATGTTGTCGTAGGGCGAACTGCTCTTTACAAACTCCGCGCTGCTGTGTCAATATTTCACTATGCCTTGAAGTTCCCCACCATTGAAGGGGAAGGCACTCACTATGGAGATTAGCGGGAGGCGCGAAGTCTGACGTTGCTCTCAACTTCACGAAATCTTCATGTATGCGAGGTACAAGAGACTGATGGCTCTATTGAGTTGCAAGATCCAATCCTTCCTAACGCAACAATGACAGATCAATCTGCTTCAAATACCGACATCTCCCCTGCCCCTGATACCAATGTCATTGAGACGTCGGATTTGCCTGAAATCTCGGATGGAGCCCTCGACCAAAGACAACCTCTTTCTGCGGAGGATATGAGAGCGCACGAAGATATAGATCCAAGGGTGCAATTTAAAGATAAGAGTCATCACGTTCGAGCGGAGCCGGTTGAAGATGTCGAAATTATTTACGTGGATGAACTAACTCAAGGCAAATTGTTGCGCATTGGGGCTAGTCTTCAAGAACCTACACGTTCGCACTTGATTCAGTTTCTTCGGTCAAATTCTGACGTGTTCGCTTGGAAGCATGAAGATATGAAGGGGATAGACCCGCAGAAAGCATGTCACCGGCTAAATTTGGATAAGACCATCAAGCCCGTCATACAAAAACATCAAAAATTCGGACCAGATCGTCAGAAAGCATTGGAAGAAGAAGTGAACAAGCTTATAGATAACAAGTTCGTTAAAGAAGCAAAATATCCGACATGGATATCGAATCCTGTTTTGGTTAAGAAAGCTACTGGTCTTTGGCGCTTATGCATTGATTTCTCAGATCTGAACCAAGCATGCCCGAAAGATAGCTATCCAATTCCACATATCGATTACATGGTAGATGCTACATCAAGACACCAGCTCATGAGCTTTTTGGACGCCTATTCCAGTTACAATCAAATCCCCATGCACCCCGACGATGCCGAACATACTTCGTTTTATTCGGCCCGAGGTCTTTACTGTTATGTCATGATGACTTTTGTATTGAAGAATGCTGGGGCCACGTATCAAAGGTTGGTCAATATAATGTTCGTTCGTCTGATCGGTCATACAATGGAAGTTTACGTAGACGACATGTTGGTGAAATTAGAACAGGCCTCCCATGATATTGCTCATCTTTCCGAAGTCTTTGACATCCTTCGAGAATATTCAATGGTGCTTAATCCCAAGAAGTGCACCTTTGGGGTTGGATCAGGAATGTTTCTAGGATACATGGTGAGCCAGAGAGGAATCGAAGCTAATCCCGCCAAGATTCAAGCCATACTTGATTTGGCTCCCCCGACATCTATCAAAGGAGTTCAAGCTTTAACTGGTCGACTAGCAGCCCTAAATCGATTCATTTCAAAGTCGACGGATCATTGTAAGCCTTTCTTTGACGCAATCAGAAAGAAGAAGCCGTTTGAATGGACCACTGAATGTCAGAGTGCTTTTGACAACATCAAGGAAGTTCTTTCACAACTACCGACGTTGCAAAAACCTCTCCCCGACGAACTCTTATATTTGTATCTGGGAGTAAGTGATGATGCTGTTAGCGCTGTTCTTATACGACAAGATGAACTCCAACAGTTCCCGATATATTATGTTAGTAAGGCTTTACATGACGCTGAATTGCGATATCCGTATATGGAGAAGTTAGCCTTTGCTTTGATCATCGCTGCACGAAAGTTGCGACCATATTTCTGGAACATTCTGTTGTTGTGTTTACATCATATCCTCTCCGACAAGTCCTCTATCGACCTGACACGTCGGGAAGGATGATCAAATGGGCTATAGAACTTGGACAGTTTGACATTCAGTATCGCCCACGGACTGCCATCAAAGCCCAAGTGTTATCCGATTTCATAGCAGAGTTCACCCCATCTGTTAGCACATCAATTCAGGATCCGACGTGGACTCTTTACATCGATGGATCATCCACCGCTATACGAGCTGGAGGAGGAATCGTTTTAGTCAGTCCTGATCAACAAGTGTTTTGTTACTCTGTGGCATTCACTTTCCCGACAACAAATAATTAAGCTGAATATGAGGCTCTCTTATCAGGTCTACGTTTTGCCGAATCCATGAATGTTTCCTCCCTCCACATATTTTCTGACTCTCAGATATTAGTCAGTCACATCAATGGCACTTATGAAGTCAAGGAACCACGATTGCTGCCTTATTTTGACCTTGTCAAGAAGAAGTTATCGCGACTCAAAATGACGTTGGAACATATACCTCGATCGTCAAACATTCAAGCAGATGCTCTCTCACGCCTGGCCTCTTAAACCGATTTGAAAAATGTCGAATTTGTGCAAATCGCCCAACAGATGACTTCTTCAACAGTCTCTACCGACGTCGCTATGATCGAGGCTGCTTCGCCAATTCCAAATTCAACTTGGATGGATCCAATCATCAACTACCTTCAGATCGGGGCCGTGCCTGAAGACCCAAAAGAAGCTCGCACCCTTCGTGTTCGTGCCGCTCATTTCACGATCGATCAAGAAACACTATACAAGCGTGGATATTCTACTCCATTACTTAAATGCTTGTCAGAGACTGACGCTCGACGTATTCTTCGAGAAGTACATGAAGGTGTCTGCGGTACCCACCAAGGAGCACAAGCGTTATCCCACAAGATTCTCCGACAAGGGTACTATTGGCCGACTGTCAAGAAAGACGCCGCGGACTGGGTACGAAAATGTCATAAGTGCCAGATATTTGCTCCTAATGTTAACCAACACCCTGAACTCCTCAAGTCAATATATAGTCTATGGCCGTTCGCAAAATGGGGAATTGATTTAATTGGTCCACTTCCGACAACAAAAATGGAGGTGTCCGGTTTGCGATATTGGCTGTCGACTACTTCACCAAATGGATAGAGGCTGAACCTCTTGCAACCATCACCGAACAAAAAATGATTGATTTTGTCTGGAAGTCCATCATTTGTCGGTTTGGGATACCGAACTCTATTATAACCGACAGCAGTCGTCAGTTCGAAGGGAAAAGATTTGAAGACTTCTGTGAAGACTATGGTATCAAACATTTCTTCTCGTCACCTTATCATCCACAAGCTAATGGGCAAATAAAAGCTGTAAAGAAGATCATCAAGAATGGCTTGAAAGACTAGAGACCGCAAAAGGATCTTGGCCTGATGAGCTGCCCCATGTCCTTTAGGCCTATCGGACGACGACACGAAACTCAACTGGAGAAACCACGTTCTCATTAGCATACGGAACTGAAGCTGTGATACCGGTTGAACTCACTTCTCCAACATATCGGATTACTCATTTTTCTAAAAAAACCAACTCAGCAAACCTGAGAGCCAATCTCGATTTGGTCGATGAACTACGGACCGACGCTGAAATTCGGAATGCTGCTTACAAACAACGTAGCGAAAAGTACATTAATTCAAAGTTCAAGCCACGCTCGTTCGTCGTGGGAGACCTCGTGTTGAAAAGAATTACTGGGACCAATGTCGGTCCGTTGCAACCAAAGTGGGAAGGACCCTTCAAAGTGAACCGTCTGATTTCTAATGGTACCTACCGACTTGAAACTCTAGATGGTGTTCCCCTTCAGTACTCTTGGCACGCAACTTATCTAAAGAAGTACTATCAGTAAACCTGAAGGCTGAACCCTTGTCTCCGATGTATGAAAGTCTTTTGTCCTACCCATGTACAAGAATCACTTTTTGTTGTCAATAAAGTTTGTGTGACGAACCGCTATAATTTGTTCGATCACTCGGACCTCAATAAATCGGTCCTCGTTGCTAAGGCTAAACGTGTTTCATACCATGAAGTTGGTATGACCTAGCCAAACGCAACAAAGCCGGATACTTCCAAGCCCTGAAGATAGTTTGGGGAGGCTTACGCTCCACAATTTCAAATCACGACGTTGATTTGATGAGCTTACAATAAATAATTTTGAGTCCTTTGAAACATTCAAAGACTTATACAATAAAAGCAAGTTGACTATGACTTGTTCTGATAAAGAGTTTATAGATGTCGGATATGCTATAAATTATACTGATATCGAGAATTCAGATAAACTCATAAGAAAGCAAAGCGTAAGTGCCAAATGTCACGTCGGAGTAATCACGAGCATGATGTGCTAAACATTCATTTATCTTTACTCTGACGTGTTTTGACTTATTACAGTAATATGTCATGGTCATACATTCATAAAAATATCAAAATCATTAAACATTGAATTTCATTCATAATAAAATATTGTCATTACATACGATAAAGGAAAGTAGAAAACAACAACTAATTATCAAGTTTCATTCAAGTCATCATTTTTTGTCCCCGACGATGAAGCCCCTCCGGCTGTAGAAGACTGGGAGTTCCCGGCTTCAGCTTT